TTATAAAGAGGCAGTTACCTATTGTAAGAGAAACAGAACTTCTGTATTTGGCCCTGTCCAGTTCAATATTTGTATTGAAAACTTCAATAAAGATATACTTTAAAAGTAGGTCTAAAATCTAGTTTCAAAATTGCAGAGAGTTAATGAGATTAATTCTTCTAACTATAACTTTATGTTGTTTTATACAAAGATTCTGATGAATTTCTGTTGAGGCTGGCAACAATAGCAGGACATCAAGATGCCTCAGCATTATTGGAGAAGGTAGCATGATTCTTGAGCATTATGAAAAATTATTCATGAAGGCCTGTTTTTTTCAGTTTCTTTCACATCCTATCTAATAAAGAGGGGCTATGCTAATTGACTGTCACACCCTCACAAAGCTGGCAGCACCCATAGCCATAAGATGGCGGCACCCAGTCCCCTCAACTCCGCCAAGGCGTCAGGCGCACAGTACATCAGGGCCCACCCCCCAGGCAGATCCAGCTGCTCCAAACACCTGCCTCCAGAGGCCCCTGGTCCCCTCAGCCGCCCAGCCACCCAGGGCCGGCCCAAGGCTTGCGCGGCCAGCAATGGCAGCAGCAGAGGTGTGATGGGGGCGTCACCTTCCTCTGATCACTGGGTCGCCTTCTGATCCTGAGGGTTCCCGGACTGTGAGAGGGGGAAGGCCAGGCTGAGAGACATCCCCCTTCCCCCAGTACATGCTTTTTTCATGCACCAGGCCTCCCTCTAGTAAACTATAATGGAATTTGGCAGCTCATGAGCTTCTAAGATTGAGAATGTAATATTTCAAAGTGAGCTGATAATACATTCTGTAGTATTTAAAATTAGGTGCTAATTTTTAAGTATAACAATTCTCTAGTCATCTGTACGTGGCTTTACTAGCTGTGTGATCTGAGGCTAATTAGTTGACCTTTTGCTCTCAGTCTCTTCAACTGTAAAATTGTGATAGTACCTACCTTGTAGACTTTTGTGAAATTTAAGCAAGATGGTATATATGTAAACTACTTCACATAGGGACTAGAACATAAAAGGAAATTGACGTGGGAATAGTGATGGTAAAGGTATTTATATATATGAAGATAAGTTTCATTGTACTATAAATAACAAAATAAAACTATGCTTCAACATTAAAAAAACAGAGAAAATGAACAAAACTTCTGTAGAAGGATGACAGAAAATTTATGAAGCATTCCATATTTTTTGCAAATGAGAAAAAATGTGGAGGTGTATAAACCAAATAGTAAAACTGATTATAGGAAGAGTGGTTGGCTATATAATAGGGGACTTACATTTTTAAATTTACATGTTTGTTTAACACTAGTGGCCTGGTGGATGAAATTCGTGCACGGGTAGGGTCCCTAGTCCAAGCCGGCAATCAGGGCCGATAGGGGCTTACCAGCTGTTGGCCAGGGCCTTCCTTAGTTCCGCACTGCCCCCTGGTGGTCAGCACACATCATAGCAAGCGAGCAAACTCCCAGTTGAACTCCCAAGGGGACATGTTGCATATTAGCCTTTTATATATATAGATTGGAATTTTTAGTAATAAGTACATATAATCTCTTATAATATATTATAAAAAATGTTCAGCGATAACTACTCATCCCAATAGTTGATAGTATTATCTATAGCTACCTTAACCCTATATGTAAAGCTTAATATCTTCTATCTGTATTAGTCCTATAGTTGACATATTAACTGTTCTCTCCTTTTTGAAACAGGTTACTTCTTTGTATTTCTAATGCTGTTCTCTTTTGATTTATTTTTTTTTTTAATGTCTCCTCTACTCTCCCACCCAGAAAATAACATGACCCATGTGGCTCAGTTGGTTGGAGCATCATCCCATGTTCAAATCCAGGTTTCAGGTTCGAAACCCAGTTGAGGCACATACTGGAGGCAACCAGTAGATGTTCCTCACATCGATGTTTCTCTCCCTCTTACCTCCTCTCTCTAAAATCAGTAATGAACCAATGAATGGATGAATGAATGAATGAATGTAAAATAATGATGGTGAGAATGTGGAGAAATTGGAACCTTTGTGCATTGCCAATGGGATTGTAAAGTGGTACAGCTGCTTTGGAAAACAATATGACGGTTCCCCAAAGTTAAACAGAATTTTTATATGATTCAGCAATTCCACTTTTAGGTAGATACCCAAAAGAATTGAAAGCGGGTACTCAAATAGATCATAGCATTATTCACAATAAACAAAAGGTTAAAACAACCCATCATTAGATGAATGAATAAACAAACTGTGGCATGTACATATAATGGAATATTATTCAACCCTAAAAAGAATGAAATTCTGATATATGGCTATAATGTGAATGAACCTTAAAAACATTATGCTGAGTGAAATAAGTCAGACTCAAAAGGACAAATATGATTCCACTTCTTTGAGGGGCCTAGAATAGTAAAATTCAGAGACACAGGTAATTGAATAGAGATTATCAAGAGCTGGGGTAGGATAATACAATATTAGTTAAAATCATTAGACGTTTTGTACAAAATGGAATTTTATCTAATACAGACAGTAGTTTATTCAAGTATTCCTATCCCTTTTTTATTGACTCTATACATACTATAACTTTATTAGTTCTAACTAGCAAGTTCTAGTCTGACCCTTTTTCACAAATTTGACTTTTTTAAGGTTTTTTTCTTCTAAATTCATTTATGTCTTTAAATAAATAGGGGTAAATAGGATATAAGTGTAGATATATAGACATAGGTATGTATGTAGTTGTAGATATAGAGATATTACAGCTAAATTATCCAAGGTTTAAACATAATGGAATGATTTTACTAATATCTAAATAGGCTACTTTTATTTATTAACAACATGTAGCTTCTATATACTGAGTTGAAAGGCAAAAAAAAATTATAAGCATTCTCTATATCTGGTTAATCCTACTTTTAATTGATTCAGTAGACCAATTTGTGATTACAGAAGTTTAACTCTGGCCCTAGTTTAAGAAATAGGTCAGGTTTTCAGAAGTTCTTTTGGAGTTATTTAGTATTGGGAACAATATTTAAATGCTGGTTGTTTTCTAATCTAACTGATCGAGTATTTTAGCACGTAATATTACTGAATTAAAAGAAGTACCGAAGTTAGGCTGCGTTCCAAGTTTCAGATCCTGGATAAAAGGAATCATCTGGTACTTCTGAGAGAGAAAGAAGATAAAATTTTGTTTTCTGTAATTGAAACTTCAGTTAGCCTTAGGCAGAGTATCTTTACCATATTTCAGTTTCTTTCTGAAAAGATACTAGTTGAGAGTAGATGTGTTTATTGAGTTGGCTTGAAGAAGACTGTCTGGAAGGGAATCAGAGAGGGTGAGGTAGGAGACCCAAAATGGCCAGGGAAATAGTGGAATGGAGCAGTTCAAGCTCTAGTTGGGACAAGTCAGGTTACTTTATGAAGCAACACACTCTTCAGTAAGAAAAAGAAACACCTTTCTTATGGAAAGGTCTCAGGTGAGCAGCAGAGTTTTCACGCGGCCTGAATTAAATACTCCTGTATCTGGTTTGCTCATGCAAACAAACAGAGCACCTGGTAGGCAGTAGTCACATTGACCAAAGGCTCAGTGACATTAGACAGCCAGTATTAGCCTTTTTAACAATAAAGTAAAAACTCTTGTGCCTTTGGGTCACAGAGAGCCTTATCTTAGTTTACCAAATGTCTCAATTGCCATGATAAACTATGAGTTTCTTCAATACACAGGTTTAGTTAGTATAAGGTGGTAGCCCTAGGTCAGAAGACTTATGTGTGTACTATTGATTTTTTTTTTTTTTAAGGAGGTTGGTAACAGACACTGAAATTTTAGGCAGTGGAGCAAAGTGAAGTGAAAAATTTTTTTTCTTCACCATTTTCCATCTATTCTTTTTTTGATCCTTTTCCCAACCCTGAGAACATGTTCATTGAAATGGATTGTGGTGTTCTCTTTTGTAAAATAAGCATTGTTGGATTTCTGGAATCTTGTCAAATAGCACCATCACTACTAAGGAAGGACTCAATACCTCTTCAGAATACATAGAATTTTCACTCTGAGAGTTACATCTTTTGTCTATATTCTGTATGATTCTGGATAGGGATTTGAACCATGAGAGGTTAATACAAAAGTTAAGGAGGGTTTATGACATAGCAGATAAGCAGGGAGTCTAGAGCAGATTTTCCTGCAAAATTCAAATTTGCTGTGGAATTAAACTGCCCAGAAGATGTATTCATTTTACTCTATGTATATTTTGCTTCATATAAACATTAAAATATTTTTTTTATTGTTTGCAGAGAGAAAAGTTATTGGTTGCAGAGAGAAAAGAGGAGAGGGGAGAATCATTAATGGGCTGCCTTCTTCATGCCCTCTACTGGGAATCAAGCCTGCAACTTAGGCATGTGTCCTGACAAGTCGAGCTGTGACCTCCTGGTTTAGAAGTCAACGCTCCACCATTGAGTCATGCTGGCTGGGTGACATTCTAAATGGGATTAACAATCCAATGATTGTCTGCCATAAATTCAGCAAATGACAGTGTATATTCTATAGGCAGTGAGGATTTAATTGTAGCACCCCCATGTCTTTTTATTACCTTGAAATGTTCAAGTTGGCCTTCTTCTGTTATTTAGTTCCATTTCATCCCAGTAATTGCATTTATTGAAGCCAAAGTTTTTTATTATAGGAAATGCTGATCTTAGTAAATTTCAACTATAGGGAGGGAAATGTTCTTTAATAAATAATTGAAAGACTTTTTCCTATTGCGATTCAGTGCTGGTTCTTTTATAACCAGAGTATTTTATGAATGGTAATTAAATGATGGCATCTAGAAAATCTTCTCTTCAAGAATCTCACAAGGTGTGCTGCATAGTAGTGTATTGTTAAATACTCTGGGTTTATCTCAAGTGGTTTACTCTATTAAAGAAGTGTCTAATATATTCAGTTTTACTGTTGAAACACCAAATGAGTTCTGACACTATGATGAGATGATTAAAGTCGGGAATTTTTTTCTTTTGACAGCATCAACAAAGAGAGCATCGTAGATGTAGAAGGTGTTGTGAGAAAAGTGAATCAGAAAATTGGAAGCTGTACGCAGCAAGATGTAGAGCTACATGTTCAAAAGGTAACTTTTTTCAAAATATAAAATTGTTGCCCTAACCGGTTTGGCTCAGTGGAAGGGGTCACAGGTTCAATTCGGTACCTTGGTTGCAGGCACAACCCCAGTAGGGGGTGTGCACGAGGCAGCTGATCAATTATTTCTCTCTCGTCATTGTTTTTAATTCTCTATCCCTCTCCCTTCCTCTCTATAAAAGAATTAGTAAAATATAATTTTATATATATATATGTGTGTGTGTGTGAATATATATATATATTGTGGCCCTAGCTCTGTAGACAGAGCATTGGCCTATGGACTGTAGGATCCTGAGTTAGATTCCTGTCAAGGGCACATACCTGGAATGTGGGCTTGATTCTCAGGGCGGGAGCATGCAGGAGGCAGCCAATGATTCACTTTTATCATTGATGTTTCTAACTCTCCCTTCCTCTCTGAAATAAAAATATCTTTAAATATATCTATCTATAATAATAAAAGTGTAATATGCAAATCAACTGAACAACCAATAGCAAAACAACCATTTGGACAACCATGCTATGACATGCACTTGTGCCAGGCCAGCCAAGGCAGGGATCTGGCCATCACCCCATGATTGCCCTGCAGAGGGAGGCCCAGGCCACCAGTCAGCAGGGCAATCGATCCATTAGGGGGCTCCACAGTTGCCCCAAAGAGGGAGGCCCGGGACACCAACTGGCAGGTGGTTAGGTCCTCCCTCAATGGGGGGCGATCGATCACATGATCACCATGCAGAGGGCAACCCAGACCACTAACCAGCAGGCTGCAGTGGGTGGGCGGGGCCTCCCTCTGCAGGGGTGATTCATTGTGGAGCCCCAGTCTGGTGGGAAGGGCCTACCTCTTTGGAGCCCCGTGATGGGTCACCCCAAAGAGGAAGGCCCAGGCTACCCAGCCGGTGGCACTGTGGCAGATAACCTGGGCTTCCCTATACAGGGGGCAATCCATCACCGAACCCTGGCTGGGTGGGCAGTGCCTACCTCTTTGAGGCAATGGATCACAGGGCTCTCGGACTATGAGAGAGTGCAGGCTGGGCTGAGGGAACCTCCCCACACTGAATGCACGAATTTTGTGCACCAGGCCTCATTGTCAATTGTGAGTTTGGTTGATGCTTCCATTATAGAGAAAGGGCAACTAGCGATATTAAAATATTTCTTCTAATTAATTTCCTTTCATTGTGCACGAATCTGTGCACTGGGCCACTAGTCCTATCTAATAAAAGAATAATATTAAGATTGACCATCATCACTACACCCACAAAGCCATGCCCACCAGCCAATCAGAGCGAGTATGCAAATAAATCCAACCAAGACGGCTAGGCCACAGAGAACAGGAGGGAGGCTTAGGTTTCCCAGGCAATGGAAGAAGCAAGTTTTCCACCTGCCCTTGCCCGGCTAAGCCTCCACTCAAGGCTACAAAGTTTCAATTATAGAAGGTAAACAAATCTCAACAGAAATGGGGGCAGCCACAGAGCTGGAGAGAGCAGGCTAGGGTTTCCCCCAGCAATGGAGGAAGCAAAGCTTTCTGCACACCCTGGCCGGCCCAGGCCTCTGCTTAAGGCTACAAAGTTTCAAAAAAGTTTCAATTATAGAAGGTACATAAATCCCAATAAAAAATGGCTGCCGGGCCGGGACCGGTTTGGCTCAATGGATAGAGCATCGACTTGGGGACTGAAGGGTCCCCGGTTCGATTCCGGTCAAGGGCATGTACCTGCAGGCATATCCCCAGTAGGGGGTGTGCAAGAGGCAGCTGATCGATGACACTCTCTCATCGATGTTTCTAACTATCTCTCCCCTTCCTCTCTGTATAAAATCAATAAAATATATTAAAAAATAAATTAATTAAATTAAAAAATAAATAAATAAATGGCTGCCGGTAACTGAGTGAGCAGGAGCAGGAGGCTTGGCTCCGCTTAGGCTACCAAGTTTCAATTGTAGAAGGTAAATAAATTCCAGATACCAGGGCCTCCACTTGGGTTGCCAAGGGGTATGGTCGGCCTGCAAACCACCACAGGCCCCTCACCCAGGCCTCCCCATGCCCCAAGGGAACGCCGACCCTGATCCGGGACACTCTTCAGGGCAAACCAGCTGGCCCCCACCTGTGCACCAGGCCTCTATCCTATTTAATAAAAGAGTAATGTGCAGACTGACCATCCAACACACAATATGGCTGCCCCCATGTGGTCAAAGATCCTGCCCCCATGTAGACACAAGATGGTGAAAACAAGATGGCCAGCAGGGGAAGGTAGTTGGGAGGGAACAGGTCTGAAGGGAGGGCAGTTGGAGGCAATCAGGCATGCAGGGGAAGGCAGTTAGGGGTGATTAGGCTGGCAGAGGAGGGAAATTGGGGGCAACTGGGCCTGCAAGAAAGGGCAGTTGTGGGGGGGACCAGGTCTGCAGTGGAGGGCAGTTAGGAGGCACCAGGCCTGAAATGATGGAGGGCAGTTGAGAGGGACCAGGTCTGCAAGGGAGGATAGTTGGAGGCGATCAACCCTGCAGGGGATGGCAGTTAGAGGTGGCCAGGCCGGCAGAGGAGGGAAGTTGGGGGTAAACAGGCTGGCAGGGGAACAGTTAACATCAATCAGGCTGGCATGGGAGTGGTTAGGGGTGATCAGGATGACAGGCAGAAGCAGTTAGGGGCAATCAAGAAGGCAGGGAGGTGAAAGGTTGGGAGCCAGCAGTCCTGGATTGTGAGAGGGATGTCTGACTGCCCATTTAACAGACAGTTTAACATCCCTCGAGGGGTCCCAGATTGGAGAGGGTACAGACTGGGCTGAGGGACCCCCACACACACACCATGCACGAATTTCATGCACTGGGCCTCTAGTATACATATAAAATGGTGGCCCTTGCCATTTGGCTCAGTGGATAGAGTGTCACCCTGTGGGACTTGACGGGAGTGAGGCCAGTCGAGTCTGGGTCTCGCATGATTTCGAGGCGTGTGGGTGGGCAGGTACTTGACTCTGGGTCCTGCGGTGCACCACAGATTCTGACAGGAAGGATATTTTCATATACATTTTATTAATTTTCTTTCATTTCTAACACTTCTATTATAGAGAAAGGGCAAATAGCAATATTAAAATATTTTCTCTATTTAATTCCCTTTTAATGTTCACAAATTTCGTGCACTGGGCCAGTAGTTTATTATAAACTTAATGTTGATAATAAATATAAAGCCCAAAGAGCTTACAAATAAAAAATAATTATAAACTATCTCACAAAGCTTAAATATTTTATACTAAATAGAATTTTATAATCAATGACTTACCTGTTTATTCAAACCAGCAGTTACTGGAAATATACTTTGCACCAAGCACTCTATGAGGTTCAGAATACTCACAACCAAGTGAAGGAGACGATGAATTTTTACTAGTTCTAAAAAGAATTTTTAAAATATATTTTTATTGATTTTAGAAAGGAAGGGAGAGGAAGAGAGAGCTAGAAACACCGATGATGAAAGAATCATTGACCAGCTGCCTCCTGCACACCCCATACTGGGAATTGAACCCCCAACCTGGGCATGTGCTCTGGGAATCAAACCATAACCACCTGATTCATAGGTCGACACTCAACCACTGAGTCACGCTGGCTGGGCAAAAGAATATTTTAAAAGCCCTAGTTGATGTGACTCATTTGAGCATTATCCCATACTGAGTGGTCTCAGATTCGATTCCTGGTCAGGGCACATGCTGGGGTTGCAGGCGTGATCTCCAGTAGGGGAAGTGCAGGAGGCAGCCTTTTGATGACTCTTTCCATTCTTCTCCCTCTAAAATCAATGAAAAGACATGTTTTCAGAATTAAAGAGGTAGCTGTTCAGTTTTCCAACTTTGCATTGCAGATCAACTTTCTGTTAACTCATCAAAAGGAAATGCTACAATTTGGGTATAGGAGGTGGTGACAAATAATGCTATTTTGCTATGAGGAGGACTGGAGTATCCTTCTGATATGTTTTCCTTTAAGTGTCTCACCTAAATGCTAAATGTGATCTACCAATTGGAAAAATATAATTTCCTGAATTAACTAAATAGGGTCTGTTTTCCTTTTGTGCTTTAGCAGGTTTTCTAGGCATAGCTGGGAACAATTAATGGGGTAACATTAAGAGTAGCTAATTCATTATGACCTAACTGCTTTTTAGCACTAAAATATGCAATTAGTGTGAGTGGATGTTGAGGGATATTAACACCATAAAGGACACCCTTATATGGTGCTCCCAACGAGGAGAGCAGAAGGAAAGGAAATATAATATGTTTGATGAAAGAAAGCAAGGATGGTATATTTGGGAAAAGCATGAGAAAAGGAAGGAGAGGTACAGCCAAGTTGGGCTGACTGTAGATCTGTTGATAGAAATAGCTAAATGCTGTTAACTCATTTGATAATGGCCCCTTCAAATGAAAATGTTTTTATATTCATTATTCCACTTGATTTTTACTGCAAACCTCATTTTACACAGTACATGTTGAAGTTCTGAGGTTAAGTGACTTGCCTAACAACAGCTATAGTGACAAAGCAAATCCTTAAACCCAGACCCCTCACCTCCAGTTATTATTTATCCATCACATTGGTGAGCACCTAAGAGTTTACAAAGCATATTTTTCCCATTTGACTGTTTCACCAACACAGGGAGGTAGACAAGAAATATTATTATCCCCATTTTGTAGGTGAAAAAACATACACCACATTGTTTGATTTTATTTAGTACATAGTTTCAGTTAAAGATGTATGCAAATATTCCTTCATGTTTAAGTCAATTGAAGGTTTTTTTAAAAAAGCAAAGAATAGCAGGTTTTGTGTGCTTCATGATCTTTTTTTGTAATCTCTCACTTTCAGATTTATGTGATCAGTGTTGCTGAACCCCGTCTGCCCCTGCAGCTGGATGATGCCATTCGGCCTGAGGTGGAAGGAGAAGAGGTAAAATTACACTTTTTGAGACACTATGCTTCCTCTCTATGTTTAGCTTGTAAAGCATTGAAAAGTTGATGCCCGCAGAAACCGGTTTGGCTTCGTGGTAGAGCGTCGGTCTTCGGACTGAAAGGTCCCGGGTTCAATTTCGGTCAAGGTCATGTACTTGGTTGCGGGCACATCCCCAGTAGGGGGTGTGCAAGAGGCAGCTGATTGATGATTCTCTCTCATCGATGTTTCTAACTCTCTATTCCTCTCTCTTCCTCTCTGTAAAAAATCAATAAAATATATTTAAAAAAAAAAAAAAAAGTAAAATATCATCTTATAAAAAGAAAAGTTGATGCCCTACTTCTATATAAAAGGTACCTGTTGTTATGAGCTTCATTTTTATTTAAGTTTATTCTTGCATCAGCAATTCTCAAACATTTTGATCTATGAATCCCTTTACACATTTAAAAATAATTGACTTCACAAGCTTTTGTTTTTGTGGGTATATCTGTAAATATTTGCAGATAAAAGTTAAAACAAATTTTTAATATTAATTTATAGAAAGTAACAATAAAATAAATACATCTACAGATCTTTGGTAATGCCTGGCTTAATAGGCAACAGTCAGGTCTTCATATTTGCCTCTGCATTAAATCTGATGTGATAGCATACGTTATATAGCCTTTGCCGAACTCCTCAGCATGATTAGGAGAAAGTGAAAATGAAAAGATATTATGAAAAATAGGTTGATTTATGGACTCCCTGAAGGTGTCTCACTGGTGTCCAGAACATACAATGAAAATCACTACTCATCAGCTTATATCTGTTCCTTCAGTCTTTAATTAGCAGGTAAAATTCAGGAATTAATGAAGGTAGTTCATTCTTCTGATATCTCAATAATGAGGCAGGGCTTTTGGGGTAGGAGATGGAAAGAAAGAATCCCTGTTCATTCTCATTTCTCTTCTTCCCATCTCTTTCTTTTAACTTTTCTCTAAACCTGCTTCTTGTTTGTTGTTTTTTGATCCAGATTGGGGTTTAATGTTAATATATATATACACACACCTGTCACTTCAAAGTACACATGGCTTCTAAAAGTGTTTTTTGGCCCAGCCACCATGCCTCAGTGGTTGAGCATCAACCTATGAACCGGAGGCCACGGTTGATTCCCAGTCAGGGCACATGCCTGGGTTGCAGCCTCGATTTCCAGTGTGTGTCATGCAGGAGCCAGCCAGTCAATGATTCTCTCATCATTAATGTTTCTATCTCATTCTCCCTCTCCTTTTCTCTCTTAAGTCAATATATAAAAGAATATGTTTCAAACATGCTTTTTGTGTTCTGAAAAAAATTGTAAAATCTGTTTTTCTTTCTCTCTCTCTCTTTTTTTTTTTTTTTTTAGGATGGAAGAGCTACTGTTAACCAGGATACAAGATTAGACAATAGAGTCATTGATCTTAGGGTATGCCTCATTTATTTATTAAGTGACATGATTATGCCAAAATCAAGGAGGGCAAGGATGTCTTGGGCTCATTGAACTGATTGTTGTTTGCTTATATAATATGCAGGTATGATAATATAAGAAACCTTTTACCTTTCCGACTGACCCTCCCCCAAAAAAGAATTGCAGGCAACAAGGACAGTATAATAATATTTCACAGGATATTGACTTGCAACTGTTTTAAAAAGACAAAGGAGCATGAAGCCAGTAAAAGTGCTTGCTTCAAAGTGATAACCTGTTTTAGACAAGTTAGTAAGCAAGTGGAAGCATAATAACTACGAATATCACTAGAAAATTGTGAAAGAAATTATGTGTAGATTTTAGAGCAATCTGGTGAAGTTTAGTAATTAATGCCTCAATCCTCTGAATTTATTCTAAGCGCAGAATTCCTAATATATAAAAACCCCGGTGGCAATAACCAGAGGCTGACCAACCAGAGGTCAGTTCTGGCCCTGCCCCCAAGCAAGTGGTTAGGGACTGTCAGGCAGGCAGGCAGAGTGGTTAGGGGTGATCAGGTAGGCAATTGGCCCAGACCAGCCAAGCCATTGCACCGCAGCCTGTCGTCTGCAAAGGGAGGCCACCGGTGGTGGGGAAGGGGGGCAGCGCTGCACAGATGGCATGAAGTGGCAGCAGCGGAGGTGGGGCCAGCTGCCTGCAGCCCAGGGAATGAAAGCCCCAATAGGCCCTGATCTCAGGCCAGGCCTAGGGATCCTACCTGAGAGGTCCCGGATTGTGAGAGGGTGCAGGCTGGCTGAGGGACCCCCCCCAGCCCCTCAGAGTGCACGAGTTCTGTGCACTGGGCCTCTAGTTAATAATAAAGTAGTTGACCCTTAGGTTTATATATAATAGTAACCTCAAAGGCTTCTGTTTCCCTTTCTAGCTTGGTTGCAAGTGAAAGATTTCAGTGGTTTCATCATTATAGTAAAACCAATGTCATCTTTCTTTCTTAAGGTTTTGACCACATCTTCCTCCTTTACATAACAGATTACACTTAAAACTTATGTTCTTTGTCACCTTGTAAGTTCTTTCCAGCTTTTCTGCAATCTACAGGCCTGCCCTTATTGTACACCCATGTTTCCCCTGACCATTTGCTTTTTGTAAACTTACTTTTCCACATTAATTTGTATTATATAGAAAAGGCTAGCAATAATCAAAAGTCCTCTTGATACTGCCTAGAAACCTTATGGTTTTCATCATTTTGGCCACAGCAGCTAAGCAGCTTACTGTATTTGTGCTATTTGTTCACACATGTTAATGATTTTGCCTCTAGAATTTGACCCAAAGAACATTTTTCTTTGGCTCACGTCATTTTTATTTTATTTTAATTTGTTGCCACCATTGGAAAATGGGGGTTTTCACATTAGATCTAAATGGCTTTCCTTAAAAAGTTGGAGGTGAATCTGGCAATTCTGGGCCTTCATGGCAATATCAGCTAGCACCCTACATGGGGCATTATGTTCTCTGTAAGCCCTGTACTACCCAGGAAGTATTTACTTATTTCCTTCATGTGTCAAGTTGATTTAATTAGAATTTATTATTATTTTATAGACATCAACTAGCCAGGCAGTCTTTCGTCTCCAGTCTGGTGTCTGCCATCTTTTCCGAGAAACTTTAATTAACAAAGGTTTTGTGGAGATTCAGACTCCTAAAATTATCTCAGGTATGCTTTAAGATATTTCTCTTAATTTTAAAAAATAATTTGTTTCGCCATGACTGGTTTGGCTCAGTGGATAGAGCGTCGGCCTGCAGACTGAAGAGTCGCAGGTGCAATTCCAGTCAAGGAATTGGTTGCGGGCACATCGCCGGTGGGGGGTATGCAGGAGGCAGCTGACCGATGTTTCTAGCTTTCTATCTCTCTTCGTTCCTCTCTGTAAAAAAATTAATAAAATACATTTTTAAAAATTTATTTTTAATAATTTGTTTTCCCCAAGTTGCTTACTATTAGTTTTGTTTGTTTTTTAATTTGAGAATCCCAAGTATCCCACAAAGTTTATTGCTTTGAGACTATTTATTTCAAAGACTATGATACATAGCAGCAGTCCCATCTCATTAGCATCAGTAATACTATATCCCCTTATTTCAGGAAACTGCATTGTAAAATTAATACTAAATATTGCAGTTGGGAAAATGAATTCTCATCCTTATATGAGAACATTATCTTAATCATTTTACCCTTTTTTAGAATTGCTTAAATAACACTAAAAAGTGTGTTACTGTCTTGTCCAGTTTTGGATCAGTAGTTAGATAATTGGCCTGCGGCCAAAGGTTTGGTTTGATTCCCAGTTGTGTTGCGGGCCTAATCTTGGTCTGTGTCGGGGTGTGTGCAGGAGGCAACCTATCGATGTGTCTCTCTCACATCAATGTTTCTCTATCTCTCCTCATCCCTTTTGTTTATTTGTTTTGTTTATGCTCACCTAAGAATATTTTTCCCATTAATTTTTAGAGAGAATGGAAGGGTTGATGAATGAGAGAGAGGGAGAGGGAGAGGGAGAGGGAGAGGGAGGGAGGGAGGGAGAGAGAGAGAGAGAGAGAGAGAGAGAGAGAGAGAGAGAGAGAGAGAGAAAGAGAGAGAGAGATATGATTGGCTACCTCACACACATGCCCTAATCAGGGCTGGGTATGTGCCCTTGACAGAGATCAAACCCGCAACCCTTCGGTGCTCAGGCCAATGCTCTAACCACTGATTTACACTGGCCAGGATGAACATTGAATTCTTAATTAGAAAAATTAAAAATATCTTTTTTTCTTTGTAAAAAAAATTTTTACAAAGGTAACGTAGCTTTTAATAGATTTTAAATTGATGCAGAAAGGGAACGTATATATCCAAAGAAGTAAAATGAAGGTATAGCCAAAGAGGCAAATCTCCCTGAATATAAACTGTTTAGAATCAGGTATAAAACATATATAGACTACGGTTTCTCTGCAATTTTTTATTTTCTAGTGTAGTTTTATTTAAGTGAAGTACTTGAATCAAAAGTATAAACTGTTTTTACTAGAAGCTTGCATTGATAAGCTTACAATTGATTATAGTAACATATATGTTTTTATTTCAGCTGCCAGCGAAGGAGGGGCCAATGTATTTACTGTGTCATATTTTAAAAATAATGCATATCTGGCTCAGTCCCCACAGCTGTACAAACAGATGTGTATTTGTGCTGATTTTGAGAAGGTTTTCTGTATTGGACCAGGTAAGGTTTTATAGTTAAGGTTATCTCAAAATTCATTAATTGTACCATATCTAGGGTTCTAGAAACACATTTTATTTTATTTTTTAATTGTTATTTTTACCCTCATCCAAAAATGTTTTCATTGATTTTTTTTTTTTTTTTTTTTTTTTTTTTTTTTTTTTTTTTTTTTTGAGAGAGAGAGAGAGAGATCATCAATATGAGAGAGAAACATATACCCTCTGAAACAGTCAGTTACCAGGGATGGAGCCCACCTAGGTATGTGCTCTGACTGGGAATCAAACCCAAGACTTTTTGGTGTACCAGATGATGCTCCAACCAGGGCTAGAAACACATTTTACACAGACTTTTTTAAAGCTCAAATCCTTTTTTATACTGACTACATAAATACTAGACTTGGGAGGTAAAAATAACAATGTTGCCTAATAGACATTTCCCAAAAAAAATTGTATGTTCAATAGTTTTTTAAACAGTTGAGCATCATTCATATGAATGGAATCATAAGCATTAAATATATTCCTACAGAAGAATGCTGAAGAAAACATATATCTTGGGACTATCTCATTTTAAAATGCATGCTTTGAAAATATACACACTCTTAATATATTCAAGAATATTATTTATTATACTTAAGTGTAATTAGAATAGAATTAGCTCCTATTTGGTCTATCCTTTCAACTCTCCATCAATAATTAAGAAAAAGTGATTGTTGTCTTCCAAGTAATATATTTTGTTGTCCTTGAAAGCTCCTTGCTACTATTATAAGTTTACAAATGTACCTCTGTATACTTTGCTGCCAATTTTATTCCAAAGCTGTTCTTTCTTACAATTACTAACTGTACTGTCTTTAGTATTGATAATATGCTAAAATCCATTAGAAAATACTAACAAATGTCTGGACTTAATAAATTATATTATCATGTTTTTTAAGAATATATTTGTGCCCTAGCTGGTTTTGCTCAATGGATAGAGAGCTGGTCTGCGGACTGAAGGGTCCCAGGTTCAGTTCCAGTCAAGGGCACATGCCCAGGTTGCGGGCTCTGTCCCCAGTGCAGGGCATGCAGGAGGCAGCCAGTTGGTGGTTCTCTCTCATCATTGATGTTTCTATCTCTCTCTCCCTTTCTCAAATCAATAAAAATATATTAAAATCCTATATAATAAAAGCAAAATATGCTAATGATATGCTAAGGCCACTCAACTGCTTGCTATGACATGTACTGACCACCAGGGGGGCAGACAATAGACCAGTTGTTATGACATGTACTGACCACCAGGGGACAGACATTGACCAGTCACTATGACATACACTGACCACCAGAGGGTAGACACTCTGACCAGTAGGTTGGTTTGTTTGCTGCTGGGATCCAGCTGATCGGGACTGAGCAAGACAGGCCAGATACACCCTGGAGCCCTCCTGCAGTTCCTCCCCAGCCCCAATTATGCACTGGTGGGGTCCCTCGACCTGTCTGCACCCTCTCACAATCTGGGGAGAGGGACCCCCCCCCCACAACCCCCCAGAGCACAAATTTCATGCACCAGGTCTCTAGTATATAGTATACATTTGCTAAAAGTCAAGGATGTACACATAATCATGAAGCAAATTCTTTTATGATGCTAATTATAAGCAAAAAAATAGTTTTACTATATTCTTTAACTTACCAAGTTAAAAAAAAAAAAAAAACCTACCAACTTATTTTATATATATGTTTTTTATAAATACCTGCTAATACAGAAACTGGCAAGATCATTAAATGTCTTAATTTTCTGAATTTATTAAGCAATTATTTGCTGAACACTTGCTGCATATATAGCCTTGCGCAATAAAAGAAGATCCAACCAGCACTTCTCCAATGTTAATGTGCACACAAATCACCTGGGGATCTTGTTAAAATGCAGGTTTGGGGTAAGACTTGAGATTCTGCAGTTGTCGTAAGCTCCCAGGTACTGGTGCTGCTGCCATGCAGACCAAGCAATATCGTCCCTGCTTAGGATCCTAAGACACAATAAGACATGCATATATATTGCAACCACAGGGAATAAACTGATTTTCACAGCAAATAATCTAATTGTGGTATAGAGTCAGCAGGTTGGTGTTAATTATGTGGTATAGGTAGGGTAAAAAAGAGGAAGAAGATGGAGTTTGCTAGAGATGCCATGAAAGAAAATTGAAACTGAAATGGGCGTTAAGGAGAGAGTAGGAGGTAAAGACGACAGAGATAGCATTCTAGTCAGAAGAAGCAAGCTGAGTTAAAAGCATGAAAGAAAATAAAATTGAGACTAGTTAGTATTGAGAAATGGGAAATATAGGGTGGGATTAAATTATGACCATGGAGAGATGGAACAGGACTAGTCAGGAAGACAGGAAAGGAAGAGAGTGCAGTAAGGATAAGAGCTGGACTGAAGTAGGTGCTTCGTTTGTACAGATTTCATTATCTTGAGTCAAGTTTTAATAAAATTGAGAACTCACTATAAATATTTTTAATTATTGAAAAGGCACCTCAGGATCTTGCATTCCCTCGGGGTTCTTGTGAGTCTCATTTATTAATTGACATTTGTTACAGCTTTTACTACATGACTGTAGGAGTTTGTTATGAACTTAACTATCCAAGAGAATGCTGTAACAGATGGCTTGTCAAAGGTCTTTCCAACATATAATGATAATGAAAATAGTACCATTTGAGTACAAGTAAATAGAATTTTGTATTTAATCTCAATTTCTCCAAAATTTAAAACACTGCTATGTTTCTTTTATTAATGTTACAGTATTCAGAGCTGAAGACTCTAATACTCACAGACATCTAACTGAATTTGTCGGTTTGGACATTGAAATGGCTTTTAATTACCATTACCATGAAGTTATGGAAGAAATTGCTGACACTTTAGTACAAATATTCAAAGGACTTCAAGAGAGGTAAAAAATATATGTATTTTATATCCCTAACTGGAGTTAATTTCAAAACAGTTTGGGCTCTTCAGAATAAAGCAATTCTTGACTTGAAATGTATAAACTAAGTTTTTACTGGATATATGTGTACATATATAATAGACTTGATAGTTAGATGATCAATTAATTAATGAAAAAAAAATCCACACTCAAAATACTGTTCTGGATCTAAGTCCATTGTGGCTTCAGCTGCTGAACCTCATTTTGGTGGGTACATTTACCAGATTATATTTCTCCTTATAAAACATCCTGGCTATTTCAAGAAATAGTCTCTGTTACTTTCATAGCAGTTAAAAAGTCCGAGTTTTTATTGCCTCATGAAATGGGTAGTTTGTTTCCACCAATGTTATCTGATATGAGTTACAAAAAGTTTTAATCCTTTAATGCCACCATGGTGACAAACAACATAAGACAGAAATGGTATTAAATCTTTTAACTGTTTAAACTCTAGTCTTTAACTTAAATGATCTCTTAGTAACATTTTTTTGGTACATACATTAATTCAATGATGATTTTATGTGGCAAAGATAGTACTCAGTACCTACCAGATATATTTTTCTTAGCTGTTGCTAGTACTACCAAGTGCTTGAGGCGATTTCTGCACTGAGGCAGGTTTTACATAGAGAGTTTTGCTATAAAAGCATTTTCATTTCATAAATAAACTTTATTGTCCCTTTTGAACAATAAAGCTACATATGTCCCTTATTCCAGAATTATCAGTGGAATGCAAAGGACTGATAGCATGTAGGCTCTTGGGTCCCTGCCAACGGGCCAGCTAGGAGGGGACTGAGTGGTTTAGCCCGACAGGTACTCAGCTGATCATGGAGCTTCTGCCCCTGAACTTCTACTTCATCGCACAGAGAGTGACTCCTGTGAAATGTTTAAAATGTTTCTTTGTTAAAAGAAAAAAGAAACCGAGACCCGTTTGGCTCAATGGATAGAGCATCGGCTTGGGGACTGAAAGGTCCCGGGTTCGATTCCGGTCAGGGGCATGTGCCTTGGTTGCGGGCATATCCCCAGTAGGGGGTGTGCAAAAGGCAGCTGATCGATGACTCTCATCGATGTTTCTAACTCTATCTCTCTCTTTTCCTCTCTCTACAAAATCAATAAAGTAAAATAAAATAAAAATTTCATACAATAAAAAATATATATTAAAAAAAAGAGAGAAAAAAAGCATTTGTAGCAAGTGTGTGGGAGAGTGAAAGCTATATATGTTCCTTATTTCACCAGTTTAGTAAAAAAAAAAAAAAAAAAAAGGTCTTTAATGATTTTTAACATAATGCTACAGTGACCTCTTGTGGGGAAAACATTTAAATCTCACATTAGTATTAACTCTAAATCATTATTCAAATAGGTTTCAAACTGAAATTCAGACGGTGAATAAACAATTCCCATGTGAACCATTCAAATTTTTGGAGCCTACTTTAAGATTAGAGTATTGTGAAGCATTGGCTATGCTCAGGGAAGCTGGAATTGAAATGGGAGATGAAGAAGACCTGAGGTTTGTCTTTCTGATTTTTAAAACTTGAATAACTAGATTTAAGATATGCAAGAATGAATATATTAACAAATCGTAACTTTTTTCACCCAGCTTTTATTAACTTTTAGGTATATTGTATAATGCTGTTCTTATTTGATATGTGATCTGAAATAATGATTTAATGTGGTTTGCCTAGGTTTCAATAAATACCATTTTTGTGTCCCCTCTTTCCCTAGTTTGTAATGCTTTAAAGAATATAGAGACTTTTGCCTGTGATTTTTGCATCTAATATTTTATCTCTCTTTTTCAATCAGTGGTATTAAAGAAGACAGTAATCTCAATCCATCACCACACAGGATTAAGGCATAAAAATATTAAGATCTCCAAAAATATATAAAAATCACTATTATTTATTTGATATACAATATTATGTTATCTAAGCTCAGATCATACAATGTGTAATTTTTAAACAAATTATGTAGTTTAACAAAGATGAAATTATTTTATTCAAGGGTTCTTAAGTTAAAATATTTAAGGTATCATAATTCATATGGATGTAAGAGGGAAAGGCATGATTGTCATTTTTTAGGGATTTTTTTTTTTAATTTTACTCAAAACCCTTTATTTTAGTTTGTTTAACAAATATATTTGTACTAGAGGCCCAGTGCACGAATTTGTGCACAATTGCAATCTAGCCAGCTTGCCCCAATGGGGATCTATTGGGCCAGTCCATTTTGGGGGGGGAGGCAGCAGGTGGTTGGACAGCCACCCCCGTCTCATGATCAAGGGGCCGGGGGTGGGGCCGATTGGGCATGGATCAGGCTAGTTGGTTGCTGTGGTGCGCTTCAGAGCCATCAGTCATTCTGGTTGTTCTGGTCGTTCCACTGTTCTGGTCACTGGGTTTTTGTATATATAGATATGGTTTTAAGCATCCCCTACATTGCTAGATGACATCTTAAGGCAAGTCGTACATTCTATCATTATTTTCCTAAGTATTTTAGAAATTGTTCTTAAATAGGGTAGATGCTAAAGTGGCTATAGAAATTTTATTGGTTTATATAAATACTAGGGGCCCAGTGCACGAAATTTGTGGAAAAGGGTGGAGGGGGCGGTCCCTTAGCCAAACCTGTACCCTCTCCAATCCGGGAGCCCTCAGAGACCTCTGGCTCCTAACTGCCCACCTGCCTGTCTGCCCTAACCACTCTGCATGCTGTCCTGATCCCCCTAATTGCTCTCCCCTGCTGGCCTGGTTACCCCTAACTGCCCTCCCCTGCCGGCCTGGTCACCCCTATTAACTTTTTTAAAATCATATCCCCTTCACACACAATTGTATTTGACTTCCTTATTGGCTTCTCTCTCTCTCACAATTTTTCTCTCTTTTATGTAACACTTTTTCCTACTGACTCATTTATAAACTTTTCTTTCCTCCTCATTTCCTACTTCTGTTCCATTATCCTTCTTCCCATCTTTCACCTACCCTCCCTCCCCACATTTTTCCCCCTTTATCTTTACCCCTGCTCTCCCTCCCCTTTTTCTTCCCACCTTAATTTTTTTCTTAACTTCCTCCCTTTGGATCTGTTTTGCTCCCTCCCCCATTTCTTCCTTCTTACCATTCTCCTTTTAAGCTTACCAGCTCCCCTTTAAATTTTTTCTTCCTTCCCTCTTTCTTTCTCATCCTACCTTTCCCATACATTCTTCTCCACTTACTTCCAATGTTTTAATATCTATCTATCTAACTGCCTAATTATTCACTATCATTTATCTTCTTACCTTTCTGACTCACACTTTTAAAATCTGTTCCCAGTATACAATTATACTTGATTTTTATTATAGCTCCTACAGTTCATTCATATATCCTCTTTCCTTCTTGACTCTGTTCTCTACTGGCTCCTTTATAAAGTTCTTCCCTCCCTCCTTCTCTCCTTTCCCATCTTCCCCCTTCCTCCCTCACTCTTTTACTCTTTTTACAGTCTAATTAAAAATACTATGCTTTTTCATACTGTGTTAGTACTGACTGCTTTCCTCTCTGGGTCCTGTAGCCGCCTGTTTGGGCACTCGGGCCGACCCCTCTTGCACCAGCTTTGAGGGGCCGAGCTAAGGCCCAGCTGTGGAGGGGGTGGGAAGACCGGGGGGTGGGGGACGGGAGGCCATTCCACCCAGGATGTGGGCCCCCATCTGGGTCGGAGCGGGCAGATGAATGGATGGGTCGCTGGAGAAAGCCGCAGCGGCTTTCCTGAGGTGTGAGGCTCACCTGTGTTCTGCACAGTGGCAGAGCCAGGTCTGCGCGGCGGGAGGAGGCTTCGAGGTTGTGCGCTTGGGAGGATCCAGTGGTGTCCCGGGCCTCACGGGTCCACCCTGTGTGTCTGTGGTGGTGGGATCCCCTCGTTTACCCGGTGGCCTGTCCAGCTGTAGTGCCTTACCTCCACATCCACTCTCTGTCTTCTCGCCCGGGCCCTTCCTTCTTGTTGGGTCCACACCCTCTCGATTTGCGTGTGCGACCCCTCCTGGGGGTCACCACCATTGCGCACACCCCCCAGCTGGCATCTGCTGACCATGTCCCAAAACCAGCCTTCAGCCATGCGGGTGTCACCCCTCAGCCCCCCCACACACACACACACCTCAAGGGGTGGCGCTGGTGGCATCCCAAGCAGAGTGGCAGAGTGCTCTCAGATGGGGCGCGGTATAATGGGGGTGTTTGTCTGGCGCATATACCTGGAGCAAAAGAGGACTCTGGCCCAGGGGCAGGGAAGCTAGCCTCACACAAGTCCCCCGGCTGCTGGTCTGTCAATATGCAAATTGGTCGTTACTGTGACATAGTTAAGACCAAATTGGATATTAACTCTTTATTATATAGATATTTTAAAGATTCAGAATTAGTGATTTTTGCTTTATTAACTTTTAATAAAGAGTAATGAAAAGGAGCCCTAGCTGGTTTGGCTCAGTGGAAAAGAGCGTAGGCCCCAGACTGAAGGGTTCCACGTTTGACTCTGGTCAAGGGCACATGCCTGGGTTGCAGACTCAATCCCCAGTGTGGGGCATGTGGGAGGTAGCCAATCAATGATTCTCTCTCATCATTTATGTTTCTATCTTTTCTCTCCTTCTCCCTTCCTCTCTGAAATAATTTTTTTTTTTTAATTTTTAGAGTAATGAAAAGGGGAGACCATGTAAGTGGCACTATTTAATGCCAAGAATAGCCTATGTTCATATAGTGATCTTTTGTTATATGTAACTGTAGGAAATTATATATATATCATCCATGTTATTTCTGAATCAGTGAATTGCTAAAATCTGTTTATGGTTTTATTTAAATATTATTGAGCAGCACCTACTAAATACCAGGTGCACTTATAAGTTATTTTCAATAGTACTTAACCTTTTTTTTTTTTTTTTAATTTTTTTTTTTTTGAAGGAATATTTAATATTAACACATTTCAAACAAATCGTCATTTATATTTACAGTATACAAATGTAAAGCACTAATTTCCCACTAAATCATCACTTCCTTAAAATGGTATATGTGATGTTATGAAATTAGCTATTAAATATTCGAAATAGTGGAAGAGAGGTCCTTTCTTCGGTCTTTTTTTTTTTTTAATATTTTTTTTTGCCCCCCTCCCTCCCTCCCATACATCCCCTCCCTCCCCAGAGTTTTATGTCCATTGGTTGTACTTATGTGCATGTATAAAAGTCCTTCGGTTGATCTATTATCTCCCCCAGATCTTCCTCCCCTCCCTGCTGTAATTTGACAGTATGCTTGTTGATATACTGTCTCTCTATCTATCTTTTGGTTCATCGGTTTATAATGTTCTTTATTATCCACAAATGAGTGAGGTCATGTGGTGTTTTTCTTTCATTGGCTGGCTTATTTCACTCAGCATGATGTTCTCCAATTCCATCCAGGTTGCTGCAAATGATGAGAATTCCTTCTTTTTTATGGCAGCATAGTATTCCATTGTGTAGATGTACCATTGTTTTTTGATCCAATCATCTGCTGACGGGCACCGAGGCTGTTTCCAGATTCTAGCTATTGTAGATTGTGCTGCTATGAACATAGGGGTGCATATATCCTTTCTGATTGGTGTTTCTAGTTTCTTGGGATATATTCCTAGGAGTGGGATTACTGGGTCAAATGGGAGTTCCATTTTCAGTTTTTTTGAGGAAACTCCACACTGTTCTCCACAGTGGTTGCACCAGTCTGCATTCCCACTAGCAGTGCACGAGGGTTCCTTTTTCTCCGCAACCTCGCCAACACTTGTCGTTTGTTGATTTGTTGATATTGGCCATTCTGACAGGAGTGAGATGGTACCGCATTGTTGTTTTGATTTGCATCTCTCTGATAATTAGTGACTTTGAGCATGTTTTCATGTGCCTTTTGGCCTTCCTTCTGTCTTTTGGAAATATTCTATTTAGGTCCATTGTCCATTTTTTAATTGGATCATTCATCTTCCTTTTATTTAGTTGTATAAGCTGTTTGTAAATGTTGGAGATTAAACCTTTATCAGTGGTAACATTTGCAAATATGTTCTCCCACACAGTGGGCTTTCTTGTTGTTTTGTTGATGGTTTCTTTTGCTGTAAAAAAGCTTTTTATTTTGATGTAGTTCCATTTGTTTATTTTCTCTTTAGCTTCCATTGCCCTAGGGGCAGTATCAGTGAAGAAGTTCTTTTGGCTTATGTCTGAGATTTTGCTGCCCATGGATGCTTCTAGTATTTTTATGGTTTCCCGTCTGATGTTTAAGTCCTATATCCATTTTTAGTTTATTTTTGAGTATGGTGTAAGTTGGTGATCTAGTTTCATTCTTTTGCATGTATCTGTCCAATTTTCCCAACATCATTTATTGAAGAGACTGTCTTGACTCCATTGTATATTCGTGCCTCCTTTGTCAAATATTAATTGAGCGTAGTGATTTGGGTTGATATCTGGGTTCTCAATTCGATTCCATTGATCTATATGTCTGTTTTTGTGCCAGTACCAGGCTGTTTTGAGAACAGTGGCTTTGTAATACAGTTTGAAGTCTGGTA